AAATCGCTTGGCATTGTTGTGATAGCAGAGCAAAGCTCTATACTGTAGCCTTACTTATTAAAACTGTTCTATAAATAAGAAATATAGGGTCCAATAGACATAATGATTTGCCTCCAACTTAGCCTAGTTGGAGCCTATTTATACCAGAAATGACTGTAGCTAGAATTAAAGACTGGCAAAAAAAAAAAAAAAAAGTATAAATGCATAAATGGTTCTCTGATTTTATGAAGTCATAAAACAGTGTTAGTGTTTTGTAAGAAGACTAATACAAAGATGAACTGAAGCAAATACCTGCCTCACTCATCCTTATGTTTTCACAGAATCATCTAGGCTGGAAGAAACCTCCAAGATCACCGAGTCCAACCTCTCACCTAACACTAACAAGTCCTCCACTAAACCATATCACTAAGCTCTAAATCTAAACATCTTTTAAAGACCTCCTATTCTTGCCCTTCTGATCCTTCACAATTCAATAAAGCCAGACACTATTTCTAAAGTATATCTGAAAGAAGAAAATAAATAGTAATTTCAACACATGAAATTCACCTCTCCGTCTTTTCCTTTCAGAAATACTCCATGTTTATCATTGTCATGGTTTTGGCTGGAATTTGGCTTCATATAGGCTCCCACAATGCTGTATTTTGGATTTTTGATGAAAATAGTGGTGACAAAACACCGTAATGATAACACAACGGTAATTTAGTTGTTGTAGAGCAGTTCTTACACAGAGCCAAGGCCTTTTCTGCTTCTTCTGCTGCCCTGCCCACAAGGAGGTTGGGAGTGCACAAGAACTTGGGAGGGGACACAACCAGGACAGCTGGCCCAGACTGACCATAAAGATAGTCCGTACTATACAGTGTCATGCTCAGCAATAAAACCCACTATAAAGAAGAAGGACGTGAGGAAAGATTGGAGTGATAGAATTTGTCTTCCCAAGAAACCATTATGCATGATGAGCTGTGGCTGTTCAGCAGTGGCTGAACATCTGCCAGCTGATGGGAAGTAGCAAATTTGCTTTGCCTGCACATGTGGCTTTTGCATTACCTGGAGAACTGTCCTTATTTCAACCTATGAGTTCCTACACTTTTACCATTCCAATTCTCTCCCCAGTCCCACCTGGGGACAGTGAGTGGCTGTGTGGTACTTAGTTGCTGGCTGGTGTTAAATCTGAACAGTCATTGATTCTGGGGAACAATCAGTTTAGGCTATTATTTTTGGAAATAATTTCCTGAAAACTCAGCAAGCTCTTGTATTTGGTCCTGTTATGCCCTGAAAATGCACAGAAGAATGAAAAGCTGAAAAGCTGTTAGGTAATTATTGATGTGAGGGGCAAAGAAAAGGTAAATGATTCATGAGGTCCTGAATTAATATGAGGTCCTGGCTAGATAAAGATTAGCAAACGCATAGTATGTCAAACTTTTAAGTAGGCTTTGGCAATAAATACCAATATTCTTTATAAAGTAACAGTTTACTTGAATTCTGCATATGGAAAAAATGAAGGAAAGAAAGAGGATGACAGAGGAATGAATATAGAAGTATCTGGGGCAGAAGAAAGTAGAGATGGCTCTTACCATGGCATATGCACTTCAGCTGCCTAAGGATGTTCAGCTTGGTTACATATCCTAAAGAATCAAAGACACAAAGTTGGGAGACAGAATAAGGAATGAAATGGAAAAAGGAAAGTGTTACAAGAAATGAAATGAGAAAAGAAAAAAAAAAAAAAAAGGCAGGAGAATATGTAACTTAAGGCAAGGCAACCTGAAGGTTATTTTTCAGTAGCAATTTAGGAGCATTTACTTCTTCCAAGACTGCTTTAAGTTACGTACAGCATCCAGTAGTGGCTGACCTTTCAGTGGAAAGAGTGAGAAAGTGCAAATGAGCAGTGCAGAATAATCAACCTTTTCCCTAATCTCTCTAGTTTGATGCTTACTTCTGTCCTACAGCATGCTCCTGATTCACTAATATTCCAAGCAAACCTTGTGTTTATTTTTTAACACTGCCAAAAGAATGATGAGTACTCTCAATAATCATAGAAATACCCAGATCCCTTTGAATTCCGATTGCCCCTTGTCTTCTATTATATGTTTTGGTAACAAGTACCACAAGGTAACTGTTCAACTATAAAAAAAAAAAATCTTTTTAGTTTGCTGTCCTTTCAAAGTTCAAAGGAGGAAATGACTAAGGGAACAGGCTTTTAAACTGTTTGTAGTCCAGAGGCATATTGTACGTTATCATTTTTTCTCAATATTCCTTTAGATCACATTCTGGATACTATATTTTTCTATCACTGACTGCCCTGCGTAGAAGGAGCTCCATCAGTCTTCCCCAAGTGAAGATGAATTCCATTCATAGTCAGCAATTTTTAGCTTTTAAAAATGTGACAGGAAGTACTGTTTTTTATTCCATCAAAATACTTTACAAGTAGGGACTGAATGTTACTGTGCATATGGATTATACTGAAAATGTTTTCCAGACATTTTAAGCATTTATTCCCAGATGATTGCATGGTGTTTGTATATGTGCTTGTCCTCATGCTTATGCAGAATTTTACAAATGATGCAAAGATGGTTAAAAAAAGCAGATGATGTCTCCTTTCTGATTTGCTTTAGTAAATAAGAGTTTATTGTGCTATCTAGTAAACTGCACACAAAAGATATATTTATGCTGTGATATTCTTGGAATATAGGATCTCATCCCATTACCTGGAGAGATTCCCGGTTCAATGTATTTAGTGGATGGCTGGAGGCCAGGGCTGGGAAGAGAAAGGGAACAGTGGCAGCCTTAGAAGGTTTGCAGTAAAGGTTTTTTTGCCTTACGTGGTAAGTCATAAACATTTATCAACAAAAATTGTTTAAAATAATTCAGACCTAAATCTATCCATGTCACTGCATGCATCATCTGGCCCTGAACACAGATCTACAAAATCTGGGCTGAAAACTTCATGTAACTAGCATTTAGTACAGCATTTAGACCATGCAACATCAAAGACACATTTGCACATACAGCCTTGGAGAGCCAGCAACTTAAGACACCAAAATAATGTCACTTAGTGTGTAGGGGGACGTTAAAAGGAGGATTAAAAGCAATGAGGCATAACATACTAAATGAATCCATGACTAACGGGGTGTGACAGCAAAGGGTTTCATTCTTTTCAACAGAATAGATCCCTAGGGCTGGAACTATTACTCTACTGTGCCTTTATCACCTTGGAATTTTTATGGTTATTTTTGATGAATTTGCATTTTTGTAAAGACTTTTTTGACATTAAGCCAATTTTCACTTTTAATTAAAGTCATAAATAATCTTAATTCTTCCTTAAAAGGTTTATTGTTTCTTACTTTTTATTATTATTACTGCCAGGAAATATTTTAAATGCCAAAGCATGATGTGAATTAGCAATTACAAGTTCTCAAAGGTCCAGTGACTATGTTGTATCTTGTAAACATTATATGTTGCAAACTTTATCCAGGCTTTAAATATCCGATTTGATCTCCACATGTGTGATCTCCACACACATGGAGATTTCACTTCTTTACTTTCTATATATTACTTTATCTCAGGTGAACAATGGGTATAGGTAAATCCTTACCAAACAGGGCTGTAAAAACAAGCAGTTATAAAGCTAAAATGTGACCAGAGAGTGAAGCAAAGAGTAAAAAGGGCCAGCTTTGAACTGTTTGGTACAAAGAAGGTGTGCAAATTGAAAAAAAACTTGTAGTGAATGAAATGTCAGAAGGAAAATCCCACAAAGTACTGACACAATCAAAGACAGGAGATAACATATTATTTTACTGTAAATGACAGTAATAGTACAGTGCAGTTCAATACCTGTATTCAGGCTCACTATGCCAGTTTTAGTTGATGTATCACACACAAATTTCTTACAATGCAGTCTTGATTGCCATTTACTTTGCATGCCTGTAAAAGTCATAAAAGCTGCCTGGGCAGCTCCTACGATAGGCAGGGCAGGGCTCATAGAACTTCTTTGGCAGTCCTGTCTGTGAGCACACAGGAGCAAGGAAGTCAAAGCTCCGCTTGTCATGGTGAACACAAATGCACAGTTACTTTCTCACTCATACAAGTGGGCATTCATAAGTTCAGAGGCATCTTCTCATGAATACTATAGACCAGTTCCTTACAACAGGCTGAAATACAGGTCTCTTCTGCCATGTCCTTTTTCTTAGTTACAACCATCCATTGAATCAAAATTTACGGCTTAAATCTATATATTAAAGACTGTCCTTTGGAGATTCCTATGTTGTACAAACACTTTTTGCTACTTTCTATGAATGGCTATGCATTAAGTTTTAAACATCTGCAAGGTTTATCTAGTCCTGTAACAGTTCACATACGTTCTTGTATCAGGATTGATACAATACTGATTGACTCAATGATCTAAACTAATGACATAGTGCCAACGATTAATGTGAGATATGAAGAAAAATGCTCAGAAAAAACACCATTCTTTTAGGTCACAGCTCAGCTCTTCAAAGACGTGCTTATACATACAAATAACTCTTGACTCATGGACTTGACATCCACAGGGAGACAGTGTTGTGAAATACATTTGAAACTGTCTGGCATATGAAAATATAATTTACATCTTAACCTCATACACTGTCTATTGAGCCTCAAAATCCATCTTCCCATCCAAGACAAGTCATTTAAACTTGCATTTTATGATCTTATGTATTTATCAAGTGGTGAAAGTATAAAATCAAAACATTTTGTTTTCAAAGACCACTTTTGATTTTGCTTATTATGTATGTTTATGTATGTGAGTAATCACTACATCAGCAAATAAGAGCATTAAAGCAGGTAGACTCATGAAGTCAAATATAAAATTATCACCTATGTAAAAACAGTTTAATTTGCTTTTCATTAATGTTTTTTCTTTTCAGTCTGAAAACACTACAGGCATTTAATACATATTGATATATCTAATATTATAACACCAACTTCTCCATAAAATACACCTGCCAACACAGTAGAAATTTTACCTTTTTCCTAACTTGCTGGTCTTTGGAAGAATGTGCTTTCACATGTTTTCTCAGGGAGCTTGGATCTGTGTATCGTTTAGTACATCCTGGAATTTGGCATGCATAAGGTTTCTAAACCAAAAAGAAAAAGGATAAAGAAGCAGCTGTTAAATCACAGATTATTTTAACTCACGAGAAACCATTTAGAGCTTTGGGATGCTGCAAATCACATTACTACAAAATGAAATGCTGTACATTATTACAAGCAGAAGGCTAGTAATTTATTAGAAAGGGAAAGGAGAAAAGTAAGATTCATATGGAAGAAAAAACAAAGGAAGGCTTTAATTATGGCACCTTTCATTATTACCTTTTTTTTTTTTTTTTAATCAGTACAATGAATATTGTTAGGTATACTCACAATGCTTCCACCCTTAGAGCAATCTTTGGCTTAATCAGAAATTACATTCTTTAGTGAATCAGGTAAAGAAATTGCAGTAAAGGCCCAGATAGACAATTTAGAATTATAGAAGAATCTGCTTTAGAAAAAAAGAAAAAGTGTTAGTTTTCTACATTATGATGAGAGCAAGCAAAAACCAGTGCAAACACTGAATACTAAAGTATCAAAAATATTTCACACAAAAATACACATTTTAATCTGAAGTATAAAACAAACACTTCCAGCTCATATTTTCTAATAGCACATCAGTTTAGAGAAATACCAGTCCTGTAATACTTTTAGAACTTAAAAAGACAAGACCAAAGAACCAAAGTAATTCACCAAATAAATACAAATTTCAGAAACTATCTCTTTCTGCCTGTTCTAACCTACCTGTCTTCTCTGAAGACCTGAAGATTCACAATAAAGAGTATTAAATGAACACCAGGTCCAACTCTGCTAAAATTGGCTATTTCACAATTCAGGCATTTACGATTAACAAAGCATTTCTGAAAAAAAAGCGTATAAATGTAGTGTACCAAATATACTACCAATTATCTGAAAAGGATCTTTTAAGTTTTTTGACAGCCATTTAATTCGAATGGCAGTGTTCTTTTTCTCCTTCTGGTCTTCTGCCCTTTGGAAACTGTTTGTCTCTAATGAAACCTGAACTTCTTTTGTTGTGAAACAAAGCTTTCATTAAACAAATCTCAATACTGAGTCAAATTCATAAGTAAAAATTTGTTGGCATGTCTTTCTAGTACTTGCTCCAGCCATTCTACTGATTTTTGTCATATAATAGCAGTCATTATCCCAGCTGGCTTCTAAATCTTTGCATGCTGACTTCAGGTTCCCTAAATAACACCTGAGTGGGAGGAAGTTATTCTACCTGCAGTGGAGCCCATGAAGCTGTGGCCTTTTAATCGAATAGTCCCTGAACAGCCCTAGAAGACCCTTCTCCTTCCAATCAGTGATGTTACAGGCTACCTGTTGCCACCAACCTGGTGGAAAGGAGCACACAATCTAATGAACAGGGGACTGCAATGGGACCTCTATTTCCTTACAGTATCTAGGTGTGTCCTCTGGTGCTTGGCGCGGTCACTGGAGTTGCTGAATGCTTTCTGGCAGCCAGGGTGCTGACAAAGATACGGCTTTTCACCTGTATGGCTCCTTAAGTGAATCTTGAGGTTTTCTAGTCTGGAAAAGGCCTTCTTGCAGCCCTCAAACTAGAAAAGAAAAAGAAATGATTGTAAAAGAAGACACACACAATAAACTGCAACAGCAAACACTGAGCAGAATGGCAATTGGACTTGCAGGACACTCCAGCCTGCAATGGCCAGATGCCTCTGGAGCTGAGGAAAGCCTGGAATTGTTTGAGACACTTAGACCATAAGAGTGTTTGTGTTGTGTTTGTCTTAATTAGGACACAACATTACACGGTCATTTTTCAGAGGCAACAATGAGACCCAGAGAGACTACTCAGCTCAGAGCTCAGCACCACCCAGCCTCTCCGGAGGAAAAGAGCCCATGTTGGTTTTCCCAATAACAGACAGGAAGCAAAACAGTCACTGTGTCCTGTGCTAGCCAGCCTCATCACAGCTCTGGATGTTAAGAGCTGAGCTGAACAAGTGCATCTCTTAGTACCAACCCAACCTATGCATGAACAACAAAACCCACACAGGGAAACATCAGTCTGCTCTACCTTGCATATGGCGTTGAAAGAAGTCAAAAAAGAACATGAAAATCCCTGTGTAATTAAGCTATTTGCTTGATTACAAATCATTGGCCCCGGTGATAATATAATGCTTTTTGAAACACTTCTTTACCTTTCCGATACATTTGTATGCATTACTAAAAATAAGGGGCTCATCCTTACAGCCCAGCAAAAGAGGATCTTATCTCTATAGGTAACCAAGAATCATGTGGCACAGTAGTTCTGTACCTAACCAAGTACTGCACCTGCAAAGAAACCTAAGTTTATGTAAGTGGAAAACTATTTCTTCATCTGTCATCTGTCCTGCTTCCATGTTATACTTTATCCTAGAGGAATGTAAAAAACTTCCATTCTATTTGACATTAGGATTTTCATGTACATTTGATTTCAGTTAGACATGAATGTTTATAACTGTTAGAAACATAAACTTAATTAATTTCTTTAATTATTTTTCAATTAATTTCTTTAGCTTTGAGCTCTGCACATTCTACTGAGAAGCTACATCTAAAACACCTGCTGTATAACATGATCATTTACAATTCTTGTTTGCTTGCAAGAGCAGTAATGCATTAACTTTAAGTAATGTCAAAGTTTATCTATTCTCTAACACAAAAAAAAAGAAATGGGCCATTTTCTACTGACACTAGAGTAAAACATACACATTTTATTATGTTTTATTTAGTGTTTGTATGTTTAAAAAAACACAAGTAGGAACACTGACATAATTCTGATCATAATTAGCAAGCCTTAGTTAGCAACCCGTAATACCCCCCCTCCCCCCCAAAAAAAAAAAAAAAGTAAAAACAAAGTAAAAACAAAACGAACAAAAAAACCACAGGATATTAAAAATGCTTTTACTTTGAGGAAAATATTAGAAGACAAATCATGATCAACAACAACAACAACAAAAATACATAGCAATCTCTACCAATTGCCTAGATAACAGCACCATGTTTTCATAGGAAAAAGTAAAGAGTTGAGAAAGCATTCAAAACATGAGAGCTAAAAGACTGATATGAACAAACAGCCTTTGAAAAGGAAAATAATTCAAATACAGCTACTTTAAAATAACAATAAAATTTACTGATGATCTTCACAGACATTTTATATGGACAAGTCATTATTTTTTATTAAATTTAAAAACCTTCTATTCTAATTACAGTATTTAGACCGTACCAAATATGAAATCAAATGTAGTATCTCAAGGGACTTTCTGTTTCATAGGGTAAAAGTCATCACATTGAAAAAGTTCTAAAAGCAGGCCCTCTGCTTTTTCACAATTTATAGAACTTTGAATCTTCAAGCACATGAACAAAATTAAACATATATGCAAATAATTGTTTATGATTGTAAAGCAGCATTGAATTTAAATGGGCAAAAGTATTTAACTCTCCGGAAGTTGGAAATATTATCTTACAGATTAAAAAAAAAAATAAGAAAAAAAATAATTTCTAAGGAATACTTCATTGCTTGGAATACTTCATAACTTGGAAGTAGAGAAGATAGTCTGATACTCTGAAGTTCTCATCCCTCTACAGCCCTAAAATTCTGTGCATTATATTCACAAGGCTACATATTGGGAAAAGGTCATCCCATAAAGAAGTAGAAACTAGAAGCCTGTAGAAAGACTGTCTTTACACAACAGTTAATGAATTCTAACTCTAAAAATCAAGCTGTTTGAGGCCTTAGGAATGTCTGATGCCTAAAGATAAAAGGAATGAAGCAGCACTCTTTTAACAAACATATTCTATTATTCTATGATTTTGAACAACAATTCTATTATTCCTAGAATCATAGAATCATCATCTGGGTTGGAAAAGATCTTCAAGCTCAAGTCCTACCATCAACCCTACCTATCAAGTCCCACTCTTCTCTTGATTTTGATAAAAGTTTTCCACAGAAGACATGATTACAAACTGGGCAAAAAAACTATGGTAGGAGGGTTGATGCATTTTGAAATGGAACCTTTCATAGTTTCTCATTTCTTATCTTGGTACAAGAAAAGGATTACAGGAATGTGTTATGTACCTCCACTACAATTAGTCACTGAAGTACTTGCCATGCATTTGGCATTCTGAGGCTGTTTAGCACTCTTAGTAAACCTGATTAAACCTCCTTTTAAAAATTATTATGTGGAATTAATTGTGTAATATTTTCCTAATCTGCAATACAGAAATCACAGTTACTGAGTTTTTATTTTTACTGTTGTGTGTAAATTGAAATCAATAGCTCACTCATAAAGAAAATTACTACTCCTTACTTCCTAAACTTGGGAGTTCTTTTTAAAGCATATTATTAGAGTCTCCATATCCATATTTATTTTATCTTTTTATAAGGCTAATTGCCAAAAGCAGGAAACAGTATATTTACAGTGAAAGGTAAAGCATGTCAGTAAAAGCAAAAGCACTACTGACTATGACTTTTAAACACTCGTGCTCTCCAGAGTGTTCTGCGTATGTTTGTACACACATAAATGGCGTTAAGTGTACTGGGCAACATTTCCATAAAATTATAATACTATGACATAGGTTTCTAGAAAATAATTGACACAGCATGTGAAGACTTGCTGGATGCATCATTCACTTCTGAGCCCTGTCCTGAATGCCACAGCAGACTTCATTTTGAAATACATTTAGACTTTTATACTGTAGAAACACTAAGTTCCTGCATGGATTCCCTTGTCTGAATACTTTAATGCTTGCCATAGATATTCAGTGACCAAATATTTAAGAGATTCATAAGTTTTAACTGAAAAAGAAGCTGTTCTGATTGCCTGAGTTGGTTGGAACTGTAACACAGACTTAAGACCTTGCTCTGGAAAATAACTTCTATCTGAGATCTGATCCATTCACAGAAAAGTACCTGGTCTTTATTTAAAAAGTCAGTGACAAGCATTCAGGCATTTTCTTATCTAACTCTCCCTAATATTAGCTGTTCTTAAAAATCTTCAGTTCTTCCTATTCGAATTCATTTTGCTTCAGTATCTAAACATTGTAATTTCTTTTGTCTTTTTCTGCTGTATACATTTGATTAGTAATGTGTAAGATAACTTCCAGTTCCAGGCATTTTCTGAATGTTATCAAGTCCTTTAATGTTCTCCCAAATAATTTACACATATCAAAATTATTTGTTCTCTCATGTTAAACAATACTTTGTCAGACTTCCACTGAAATAATTCTTTAAGAAATATGGACACCAGAGCACAATTTGATTTTACTGTGTTGTTTCATCCCATATAATACAAAATAATAGTGTCCTATTCTGATACGCTCACATGTAGACTCTTAATGGCTTTTTTTTCTTTGAATCAGTTATACAAAGTAATCCTCTTCAGCATCACTGCATTGGGATATCATTCTTTTACTTTGTAAGTGTGAAAGGTAACCATTTCCCTAGTTTATTGCCACCTATGGGGAAATATTTATGGTATATTAAAATGATTTCACTTAATCAGAAGTTTCCAACATGCCTTCTCTCCTTGGATTTACAGGAAAATGGGTGTTTTGTTTTTTCTTTTTAAATTTGACTTAGCTATCTTTCAACTTTCCTATAACCCTTCCATTGCAACAAATGATGCCTACACAGTGTCTAAATAACAAATCTAGGTGCCTCATTTTTTCTTCAATAAAACAGAATGCGTGCCTCATGTAAGTAGCAGATGAGCCTGAGGTCCTCCAAGAACTGTGATATAGGAAACCATTGGATGCGATATGCCCAAATGATCTCAGAAGTTCATTTGTGAGTTATGCTTGATAAAAGGTAAAGAACTGCCCCAATCTCTGCCAAACTTACTTGATAGAAATCAATCCAACCCTAAGTCCACAGCCAGGATGTGCTTATCAGACATTTCAAATACATTCTTGTATTGTTGCAGAATAGTAATTGGTTCAGCTTAATCACCTATTCAGCTATGGTCAACTGATGCTGCAAAATGAGAAGGAAAAAATGCGCCTAGAAACTATGATACATATCAGAGAGAATAAATTAGTTTCTGATTTTACAAGGTCAACAAGATAAGAAGCTTCATCCTAGCAAACATTCTTGCCATGGAAAAGTAGCTAAAGAATCAAGATCTCTGCCTTCCACATTGCTTGTCAGTAAGCACAATGGATACTACTTCCGGTTCAAGGACACAGAGCATAATAACAGCGAGACAGGGCCTTGTTTATTACTACCATTTCACACAAGCAGGAAAACCAGCAGTTTCACAGGGGTACAGTTCAGATCAGATGTAACTCTTGCTTTGCCAGCTATCCCACGGATAACCTACATTAATCCATGACTAATTGCACATGACCACATAGACACATCTTCTTTAAAAACTCTGTTTCTGTAGTCCCTTTCTGACTATTTCTGCAGTAACCATGGATATGAAATACAGGATCAATATTTCAGTAGTAGTACTTTTTCCAGCACTAGTCATTCAGGTAAGATTACTTTTCTAAACCAACCCCCTTTTTTACTCAGTCAAGGACTGTGTTAGCCTTGTTTAAGTCACAGCATTCTACAGAG